TTCATGTCCTATCAATTCGAGGACAAAATATATTCAGTAAGGTTAATCCTTCATGCCTTAGTGTGGCACATTTTCCAGGATTCCCTCCTATTTTCTGTTATAGTGCACACTTTCAACTATAACACTTCGTACTTTTTAGAATATCAACCAAACAGCTACTTCTCTGGATGTGGTTTGGCTAGGACCACGAGAAAATCTGAATAGGGTGACGATTATTCTGTACGGAAACGGTTTTCACTTGAAACCAAGTAACAATCTCTTCATTGAGAGTTCACATACACATCAATATATTCTTGAGCTCAATTAATTCATTTCATATCATATTTCCATAACATAATAATATCATATTTGCGTATAATTCATTTCAGGAGGAATGACAAAAAATGGTAAACGATACCAACGTTTAAGAGTATTTTCAATATTTGAAAGGTCATATACAGGGTGTTTCAAAAAAACCTGACCCCCTTACTAGGGTAGGTAGAATACTGCAAAATAAGTTGGGTTTACTTAGTAAAAAAATTTCGTAACGGCATCCGTTATCAAGATACAAGGTGTTGAAAAAATAATTTTTTTACACACTTCTCAAGATTATGTCGAAACTACGAGCAACGTTGTGATGGAATTTTGTATGGATGTTTGTTGGAGTCTGACACATCGCATGCATTCGTTTTTATACCTGACTCTCATAGAGGGCGCTAGTTACACGGTTCGTACCGAGTAGTTTTGAACATAACCTTTTTGAGGTTAGATTTTTCAATCCAAATTTGATGTGAATTTGAACATCATTCAATTTCACACCAAAAAGGTACTCCTGGTGAAACTCGATACTGTGTTCCGTTTTCGGAATATTCCGATTTGAAAATGATGAAGTGATAACTGTTGCTGGTATAAAGCTATGTATTAGAGTGAGTATTATGAAAAATTAACACCTATTTATTGAAAACCGAAAACAACAATACATTTTCGATGCTAAACTCATTGATTTAACAATGAATCACAAGAATAACTTCGAAACAGATTTGACTAAGAACATGGATCACACAGTTTTATTGTATCTTGAGCAGAAAGTCTATGCTACATAGGTAAATTCACGTCAAGAGTTGAAAGACATAATTGAACAACACTAGAATGACCTAACAGCTGATCCTCAACTGTTAACAAGAATAATACATTATCAAAAAAGAATATACAATCGTTTTTTCTTCGAAACGTAGGACATTTTGAACACTTTACTCTAACTGATTCAATATTTCATGTATCGAGTCAAATATATCTTAATTTTCTACTCATGATTCTTTGTTTCATCAATAACTTCAGCACAAGAATAATTTTTTTGTCTTTGAATCTGAATAAATAGGTAATTGAACTCAATAAAATTCGAGTATCGAGTTCCACCAAGAGTACCTTTTTGGTGTAAAATTGAATGATGTTCAAGTTCATATTATATTTGTATTGAAAACTCTAACCTCAAAAAAGTTATGTTCTTAACTACTCGGTACGAACCGTGTAACTAGCGCCCTCTATGAGAGTCAGATATAAAAACAAATTCATGCGTTGTGTCAGATTTCAAGAAACATCCATACAAAATTTCATTACAATGTTGCCAGTTCTTTCGACATAATCATTAAAAATGTGTAAAAAAATAATTTTTTCAACACCTTGTATCATGGAAACGGATGCAGTTACGACATTACTTCACTGAGCAAACCCAACTTATTTTGCAGTGTTCTACCTACCCTAGCAAGGGGGTCAGGTTTTTTTGAAACACCCTGTATATACTGACTAAGATATTTTGAATCGAAAAATTCTCAACTATTACTTGAATTATTAATTATTTTCATTCGCACTAATAATTTATTATGAATTATATCGAGCACGATGATTTGTTATTGTTTTGATTTCGTATTGTTATAAGACTATAGACACGTTGTGAATGACTTACTTATATTATATATTATATTGACTGGCATTGGCATTGCATTTCTTGAATAATTTTATCAACTATGAAAAAAAAATATTTGGAATTAGGTTCCTTGATTTGAGAAAAAAAACTGACAAGAATGATATGTAGGAAGAACTTCTCCCGAAATTCAGATAGAAAATTACGAATAGAGAAAAAAAAATAACAAAGTTCAGAGATAAGCTCCAAACTTTGTGAGTCTGGTCCGGTGCTTTATATCATGTCTTTGAATAGAAATGGAATGATTGTTATCAAACTTTTCAAGCTTAATGGTACCTATTCAAAATATTGAAAAAATTTAGGATTTCTAATTTAAATGACTTTCTTACTTTGTTATCACCCATAATTCATGCTGCTGTACTGAATTACTTTCAAATAACAATTTCTACTAGTGCCTTTGTTTGGAATATAAAATTGACATAAATATATGAATGCAAAAAAAATTGATGAGTCCATTATGAGGAATGAGACTCAAGGAAAGAAGCTTAGGCGCCTCCACCATGTCACAACAAAAGGGGTGAAGGCTTGTGTTTCCACCATGTCACAACAAAAGAGTTGTGTTTCCACCCATGTCACGATATAGTAGAGTGGTTAACCCATCCATATCGATTTATAAGGGGTTAGCTTGGCTTAATAGTTTGCGAGAGGAATTATTCAAATAGGCACTAATAGTTTAGGGGTAACTGAAAGTACGAGACTACATTCAAACATAACAATATTTATAATAGCATGAAACATTATGGGTAGCAATGACAAATATGAATCAACAACAATGAATATAAAGACCTAATAACAACTTACATTATAATAACCATTACGACGAGCTCTTGTCAAGTCAAGAGTAGCCCCAGACCAGACTAACTTCGGAACCCTCATATCCAATATTTATACATATATATAGATTTGCACGTTTCTCATCAGAGTTCCTTGGTCAGTTTTCATAGTTCAATGTCAATTGATGATTTGAATAATTTTATGTTCATAAAACCCTCATGGTTACAAATTACTAATATACTGAATGTTCTACTCGTGACAATACTTTCCCTGGTCGTTGGTGGTGGAGGTCCTACGCGGAATGACCAGCCCGCTCGCCAGGTTTGACACATTCAGACCGACGTAAAACTGTGTTCGAAAATGTTCGGCGTGAAATATTGAATAGGCTGTTCTTATGTCAAGAAGTTCAAGGTGACCATTTCGAGCATCTTCTGAACTGATGAACTCAGCTTTTATTTGTAGTATCTAGTAGGTGAAGATACTGACCCATTTATATTCTAGGGTTGTGAATAAGTATTCGTTTGGAGCTTCAAGAAGATGTATCACAAGACCTTCTTTCCCTATATTTTTTTCCCCAGATGGCCTCTCCACTCGCCATCATCTTGAAATTTTCATCTCGCAATTCTACTCCAAAGTAGTATTCATGCATCAATTTTATCAACCCAAGTTTCAATTTTTTTCGTTGACCCGTTCAAAAATAAAGGGGGGGGAAATTAAATAAAAGCAATAATAATGCTATATCATCAAAATCATGTTATGGGTTTTAGATCCCAATAAAGCAATAATAGAGAGAGAGCATATGCCAGCTATGTGCAAGATTACTGGGTTACCTTTACAATGAAATATGATGAATAGGCCTTTTCATTTAGATGACAAATGACTATCTGTGTTTACATCTCGCATCCAAAGACATGAAGTGGCGGTAATTTTCACCGAAACACTTGCACCACACTCTTCAGTAATGAATAAGTAACGTTTTTTCGATTTAAATTAATATAATACAATTAATACACACCAGGAATATAGAAACGAGAATACTATAATCTTAGATGTTTCTCAATGACGAATGCCCATGGTGGTTGACACTCTGTTGACCTTTGACAGAACGTCAATAAAAACCGCCATATTCCAATTTATCCAATCAGAATTATGTGTCGGAACTATAGCCATTGAGACTTATTCACCTTCGCGTTAACCAATCAAATTTTGGATCTTAAAACGAGCGCATGCGTCTTAAAAATATATCTATATGAAAAGCGCCTATTAAAGAGGCACCTAGATATATATTTGTAGTTGTTTTATTGGGTTTTGTGTTTTTTATTTAGTTCCGTTATCGAGGGAATGATAATAAATAGGGTAATATTAAAATATTTGGCCTCTCCTTTTTTATTGTCTGCTGAAAAGTAACATCAGAGAGAACGTTCTTGAAATTATATATTTCGTTTGAATCTATTGTTCAAAGGCGAAAAATGTTGACCTATTTGTTATACTATACCTATTTTATTTTATTTTTTTGGAGTTCATATATATTCTATGTGAATTTCATTTTTTGTTTTCTCTTCTGAAATATGTTTATTTATAATAAATCGCCATAAAGAAAGGTTGCCCAATAAAGTTCTCAGTGCTGTTATTGTTCTAAAAATTGATCAACTATCTTTACCCAACTGATTGGGTGGTCGATTATTACAACACTGAATCCGAGACAGTCAGCACTCTATAAACAGCGCCCTGAGATAAAGATTCGTTACAACAGGAACATGTTTCCTATGATGTGATAATGTTCGTTAGTTATTCCAATTTACCGCCTATATCAATGATTTGAATTCGCTGCCATAGTCCAAATCGCTCTGATTGGTCTTTTGGAATGGCCTTCACGTATGCCTGGGAAAAACGAATTCGTGCTTCAAGCTAAGACTGAAAGAAAAAGAAGACGAAGAGATTGAAGATTAGAGGTTATGATGCTTTTTCAGCTATGTTTTTTGGTTTTGATTTGTTTTGTGTAATGTCCTGTCCAGTATGTCCTTATCTTTTCTCAAATGAAAACTTGAGTATTAACTGAATAAAGTCGTATGGATTATCCATTTATAATATATCAAAATTAGATACCGATGTTGACTAAAAAATAAGGAATAAGGCATTATGGATTTGGCTAAATCATTATTCGAAAGTAGAAATCGTCATGGGTATGTTGGGAAACAAGATCATGTTGTAAGTTTCATCCCAATCAATGGAGTAGCTCTTTTTGTCATTCTGTTTTTCATTATAGAAACGGGAGCTAGAACTAGCTCTGGAAAATGATGAGGCTGAAGATGGAGAAGGCTACATGGATGGGCTCAATGTTAAAGAATGTACATCACTGGCACCAGGTAGCTCATTTTCTGCCCTGATTCCAACTATGTGGCCTCAAGATCTGATAGATAAACAATTGGTTGTTCCTGATGATCCCAACTCACAACCGGAATACAGGTTAGTAGTCAGGCAGTTTGAATATAGGAACAGTTGGTGGTAAAGGGATATGAGTGAGTCTCTGATAAGTACTGACATGTTGGCAAACAGTTACTATGCAAAAAAAAGTAATTTGCTTGAAGCCAATGGAGGTAGGGATGGATTGGTGTGTGCAATTGGCCTCCATCAGTAGCTATATGGTAGCTGTTTTGCTGATTGTTTCGCAAAAGATTCCTGTTCTCTATAAATTCCTTGATACCTATCTGATTTCAAAAAACTTGCCTAACTCAACTAACAAAATACATCATTTCTGTACTCAAATATAATGTTTCTATAATAAAATACTTTGTTTTTGTGTACTAACTTTGGTCTTATTTCTTTTTAACTTTCCATTCAAATGACCAAAGCTGTAAATGTTGTTCCTTATCAGAAATTCAAAAATAATAACTAGGGCACTACTACATACAATACATCAAAATTTGGAAAATGGTGATCACTTGGATGAACATAATGTAAATTCCAAAGTTTGCCCAGAATTATTTACCCAAGATTTATCAGGAGCTTCAAACTTTGAACTACATTTGCCTTGACATTTGCCAAACATTGGGATCATGCCATTTACAACTTTTGGTTTCTTGATGTCTCAATTTTTTCTTCAATCCATTTAAGCACTAAGTGAATTGAAATTCATGATATTATAGTTCATTCTTGACTTTTTCGAGCAACCAGCATGTTGAAATATTTCTTATTTTCCATAATAAAATATCATATGAATGTTGGAGACTTGGCAACATTGTGCTGAATGCTGAGAACTGACAAGACAACGCCCACAAGTCGTGTGCCATGTTGTCATGTTCACCAATTCAAATGTCCTCTACTGTGAATTCATATAATTATTATTCAACAAATTTATTATCAGCAATAAGCCACAAATCATAAGGGAACATTTTGAGACAATTGAATTTTTACTGCCAAATAGGAATAAAACCAATAGTCAATTGAGAATTTATGAGTTATTGAATAACTAATATTTCTGAAGTTCCCAATCATATTTCAACACATAGTAATTGTGCCATGGTCTGCCCCTACTAATGAAATCCTGGCGTCAGTATTTACTGATGGTTATTTTCTAGTTGTTTGAAATTTACCCTGGCATCATTGTATTATTTAGCACCTGAAAATCGTCAAAAGAATTCTTTAACAATATGAAATTGAAAGATATTCCAGTGATGAATCTGTTTAAGAATTAAAAAAAAAATAGTCCTGTTGTATTCTTCTGGAGACGGGTACACAATAATCCTTTAAATTCGTTTGGAAGTAGGGAATACCCAGTAATTAGTAATTATTTCTGTAGTTTTGGGAACGCTTTATTTTATCTTTACATGTGTAATAGTACAAAAACGCGGGAGAGGTGTCTTCACTGGTAAGTATGACATGGACAAGACATGCCATGACATGACATTGACTTGACAGACAGCTGACATCTTCTTCTGTTCCTTGAGCATCTAGTGATGTTCGGGAATCTGAGGTTCCACACCCAGATACTTTGGTCTGTTTCTTATGCGTTGAGGCCTCGGTGTCACTTGGTCGCTAGGTGGCAAGGCTGTCGATGTTCGCTCCTGTGGTAGAGGTTGTGGGCTCAGTGCCGTCTGAATTCTAGGTGACGAACTCGGCATTTGAAGTGAACTGATGGACTCCATCTCCGGCTGTCTTGAGGATGATGCAGTCTCTCCATTGCTTGGTTCAGGGGCTCTGTTCCTTAGTTGGTTTGTGTGACGATGCAAGGTGTCACCTTCAGGTGTTCTTACCCGATATGATACTGGTCCAAGTGTAGACTCTACTGTTGTAGGACGCCATTTATCTACCATACCATAGTTTCTCGAAAAGACCGTGTCTCATCCTTCGAATGTTGTTGTGTTTTCTGGGGGATATTTTGTCTCTTTCTTCCTGGACATATCTTTCAGGAAGTCTGGATTCAATGTATCTAGTCTTGAAACTAATCGTCTGGACATCAACAGTTCTGCAGGACTCTGACCTGTGGTGCAATGCGGAGTGATATGTTGTTGTAACAGGTATCTTGCCATTCTGGTCTTGATATCTCCTCCAGATAGCTTTTTCAGTGCTTCCTTTGTCGACTGGAGCATTCTTTCAGCCTGTCCATTCGAAGCTGGATGGTATGGAGCAATTCTTGCATGCGTGACTAGATTTTTGCGTAGAAATTCCTGGAATTCCTTGGATGTAAACGAAGTTCCATTGTCGGATACAATCACTTGTGGTATTCCATGTGTAGCCCATAACTATCTTAGTACATCAATCGTCGCATGTGAAGATACTGATCGGACTTTCCGTACTTCCAGTCATTTGGAATGAGAGTCAACGATAATCAGAAAGTAATGTCCTTGGAATGGGCCAGAACGATCAATATGCAGCCTCACCCATGGTGATCTTGCATACTCCCATGAATGAATTGGTGCTCTTGCTGGCAGATGTATTGTTTGCTGACAAACTATACATTTGCTAACCATTCCTTTGATTTGATTGTCAAGACCTGGCCACCAAAGATGAGATCTGGCCAGTGCCGTTATTTTGACTATCCCTGGGTGTGCAGTGTGCAGGATCTGAAGGACTTGTTCTCTTCCTCCTGGTGGAATCACCCCTCTGTTGCCCCAGAGCAGACAATTCCTATAGGCAGAATGCTGTGAGCGCTTTTGCCAATATGATTTTTCTTCTGCGGTCAAATCATTGGTCCCTTCAGGCCAGCCTTTCAGTGTCCAGCTCAAAACTTTAGAGATGACGGGGTCTCTTGATGATCCTCTGGCTAGTTGTTCAGCTGTGAAGGGCTTTTCTGGTACATTTTCCAACATGTGTACTTCCACACTCTGGAAGCATGATAGCAGGTGGTATATAGCAGGTGGTATCATGCTTCCAGAGTGTGGAAGGGGTAATCGACTGAGAGCATCAGCATGAGGAATCTGCTTTCCAGGTATGTATACTAGTTTGTAGTGATAACTTGATAGTATCAGTATCCACCTTACCATTGGGGGACACATTATTTCAGGTACTGGTTCATCATTTTCTCCTAATATTCCCAATAATGGCTTGTGGTCTGTTCTTATCTCAATGTATCTACCAAAAACATAGTTGTGAAATTTCCCTACACCTGTAATGATTGCTAGGGCTTCTCGGTCTATTTGTGTAAAATTTCTCTCTGTAGTTGTTGGAGTTCTACTAGAGCAACTGGTGCTTCCTCTCCATTAGCCTCTAAAGGGCTCATGAAAATTCCAACACCATAGGGACTTGCATCACATGTTAGTATGAGAGGTTTCTTGTTTCTTCTCATCATAATGTGCTAGGCAAACATTTGCTGTTAATAATTGTTTCAGTTCAACAAAGCCTTCTTTTTGTTGTTTACCCCAAGACCAGGGTACATTTTGGTGCAACAGACGGTGCAGTGGTTCTGCTACAGTGGCCTTGTTCTTTATAAACAAGTGGTAAAAATTGAGCATACCAAGGAAGGCCTGTAACTCCTGTTGGCATGAAGGATCAGGTGCTTCCTAGCACGTTCCATTTCCTTGGTTGGTTGGATCCCATCTGGTGTTATCCAAAATTCCAAAAACTCAATGTCTGTGGCAGACAATAAGCATTTGTCTTTTCTCAATCATATTCCATCTTGCAGGAATTGATCCAATACTGCACATGTACGCTCTTCTAATTCACTGGCTGAGTTGCCTACTATCAGAACATCATCATAATATGGTAATACTCCTGGGATACCTTGTAGATGACTGTCCATGAATCTCTGGAAGTCTTTTCACTCTGAAAACGCCCTTGTGGGTGATGATTGTTTGTGCCTCAGCACTATCTGTGTCAACAGTTGGTATGCTTGCTTTAAGTCTAGCCTGGAAAACAGTTTACCTTCAGCGAGAACTGCTAGACCTTGCTGTACACATGGGACTGGGTAGACTTCTTTTTGCACTGCTTTGTGTATCGTTACACGATTGTCTCCACAGATACGAATTTTATTATCTGCTTTGATTACGGGTACTATAAATGTTGCCCATTTGTAATTGGTTACAGACTCAAGAACTCCTTGTTTCACAAGTTTATCAACCTCTTCCTCTACCAGAGGCTTGATAGCAAATGGCACTTTCCTGGCTTTGCATAACATTGGCTTTACTGCTGGGTTAAAATTCAGGGAAATTGGGGGGCCCTTAAAAATTCCAAGGCCTTCACTGAAAACCTTGTATTTATGGAATATATCAAAATCTTGCTCTGTCTATCTCCACTGTGTGTATCCCAGTTAATGAAATATTTAGAGGCTGGAACCAGTTTCTTCCTAACAATTTTTTTTTTTATTAATTTATTTTATTTACGGGAAACCCCATTACAAAAAAATATACATAAATATACAATTATTCATAGAGAATGAGCTTAAAACTAATAAATAAATATTCACTACATATTATATATGCCAGAAATTTCAAAACCCTTCAAAATATAGATCTGACAAGTGTTCTGAAGCTATTTAATGATCCATGAAGAATGTCTAAATCGGTTTCGTTAATTATTTTCAATGTTCTTTCAATGGGTGAATGTTGTCCATAATTTGTAGCATGGTGAGATATTCGAAAGAGGTTTGTATTTCTTAAAGTTCTGTTTGGCACATTGAATTTAATTAACTCCAACAACTTCGGACACACAATAAATCCATTTATTAATTCGAAGATGAAACATAAGTCGTTGGTTAATCTACGATTTTCCAGATTCTGGTATTTCACAGGAGCTTTGCACACTCCCATTGTCTGAATTTCGTTCTTTTGATAGTCTCGTAACACAAAACTTTTTTTTTTCAGCTCTGGCTTTGAGCTTGGAAATATTTTATGGAACTGTTCTGCTCCTATCATGAAATAGGCTGCACCACTGCCCACTTCCATATTCACTAAACAACTTTATATGTCTATTTTCACTCTGAAATGTTTACTGTTTGTTTCCACCCTGCATACAACATCATAACATTCGTTTCTCTCTGAGTTGGCTAACAGTCTGCTGCACAGACTTTTTGGGTTTCACATATTTCTTTTTGTTCGTGGAAAATTTCATTTTTGAGAGACAGGCTCTCTCTATGTGGCCTACCTTTTTGCAGAAATTACACACAGCTGTTTTGAATTCACATTCTTCAGGAGAATGCGAATTATTACATCTAAAACATACTTTGCTGTAACTTGACTTGCTTTTAGTATGTAGGCGAGTTGACACAAAACTCTGTTTCACGAATTCTGTGGAAGTTGTGTTCCCTAATGGCACTTACATTTCTACTAGCTGCCTCATGAGGCTAATGCCATTTCCTCCGCTTTGTTTCACCAAGTAATCGCCTTTGCAAATCTTATCTTTCACACCACAGACATTTCAGGTAGCAGGGCTAC